CGGGGCCACGGTCATCCGAGGGAAAGCTCTATGGTTTTCCCTCGGATGGTCGTGGCCCCGCCCCAGTGTGATCACGGCATTTCCGGGTGACGTGGTTGCAGCGCGCGCTCCAGGAAAGAGCCGGGAGTCCCCCGCTCCAGCGAAAGGTAATACTTGGCAACCCTAAATTCGCTGCCACAGGTTGTAGTGTTAGCCACAGGAATAAACAGCTTTAAAAGGGGGTTAGATAGATTCTTGGAGGATAAGTCTATCAGTGGCTACTAGCCATGGTGACTAAGGGGAACCTCCACATTCAGAGGCACAAATCCCAGAGCCAGGAGGCAACATCAGGGGAAGGCCTTGGCCTCTACGTGAGACAGGATGCTGGACTATTGGTCTGATCCACCAGGGCTCTTCTTATGTTCTAATGATACTGCATCCTGTGTGTGTGTGACAGAAAGCTGACACAACAGGTGAAAACTGACTCTGATCTTGGTAAAAGAATGCACCCCAGACTGCATTTTGTCTACTAAGCAATTCAGGACTGTATCACACATTACAATTTGTCCGTATATAGAAAAAATGTGCTGTAAGCAGATGTATTTGGAAGCTACAGGATCTAACATTAACAGACTTATATGTATGCTGAGACTTCATTCTTGTACAAACTATGACCAAAGCACTAGATGAAAAATGATTCCTCCAGTTTTTTGATGCATTTAAAAGTATTGTTAGTAACTAGTTCCCACTTAGCTGCAAAGTTATGCAACCAGATGGGTCAAGTTGCCTTGAGAAGCATTTTTAACTGTTCTACCTCATAAATGTTTCTGTTCATATTCTGAGTTACTGTAACCTTGAAGGTCAACTTTTGAAGATGCTGAACACTGTTAAAATATTTATATGCCACTTTTCTGTAGTATACTGAAAAGTGGCTTAAGTCAGTGTTGGTACCTAATTTTCAGTGACCTTGTACAATCTTGCACTTTTGAAACTGGTATAGTGTAAATGGAAAAAGCAATTGGCCAGTCTGTGTCTAGTATCCTTATTTCAAAAGAACATTGTGAAAGTTAAGGCTGGAGGTCACTCCACAAAACCAACCTCTTCTGGATTATTTCTGGTGGTGGTGACAGGGAGTAATTCCTTGCTGTACTCTTATGGAAAGGCCATTATAAAAGAATATGTTTTCACTTACTGGTGGGAAAGTTGCAGGATATTGTTTGGGTAAGAGCTGTGGACTCTAATCTGGAGAACTGGGTTTGATTCTGCACTCCTCCACATGATGCCTGCTGGGTGACCTTGGGTCAGTCACTGTTCTTTCTGAACTCTCTCAATCCCACCTACCTCACAAGATGCCTGTTGCAGAGAGAGGAAGGGGAGGCGATCGTAAGCCGCTTTGAGACTCCTTAGGGTAGAGAAAAGCAAGGTGTACAAACCAACTCTTCTTGCAATCAAAGAGACCCGAAGCTTGGTAAATTCATAGGGTTGGATTCTAAGCACTGTTGCATGAAGCACAGGTGATGTTTCCAGTTTTCTCTGTTTTGATTTGATTGACAGTCCCTGCTTTGCAGCCTGTGCTATTCAAGAGTTCTAACACTCAGGAAAGGCTTTTGGGTTACTGGTGAGGCTGCAGTAGATGGGGCTAGTGGCAGGAATCAGAGGTCATTTCGGGGGGGATCGCAGTTCCCCCGGGTGAGGTATGGGGGGCGGGGCACATGACAAAGCCCCACCCCCTGCTTCCAGCCCTCATTCAGCCAGGAGGAGGCAGGAGAAGAGGGAGGGTAAGTTGCTTCCTCCCTGCCTCTCCCCACCCCTGCCTGCCTGGGGCCAGGGAGGGCCTTCGCGGGGCTTCCTTGCACTCCCGCCGGCCTTGCAGGTCCACCGCCGGGCCCCTCATGGGGCTCGGCAGTGGAGCTGTAAGGCCGGCGGTGGCGGCCGGGACCGTTGGGGGCGGAGTGTGTGGCCTTATGACACACTTTCGGTTATGTCAGGGGGTGTGGCCTTATGACACACTTCCGGTGATGTCAGGGGATGTGGCATATGCTAATGAGTTCCCCTAGCTCTTTTTCTACGAAACGTCCCCTGGCAGGAATGATGTACTCCGTGAATGGACTTAGTTCTCATTTCCTTGAACCCAAGCTTATACCTTAAGGCAAACTGATTTCTAGAAGAAAAAACCCTGAAAATAAAATTTACTACCCATGTAGACCAAGATACCTGATTACCAGAAAAGTCTGAAATACTTCTGAATAGGGGACATGAAATCACCCCTAAATTAATTCAGAACACTGCTCAGTGTCTAGTAACAATGCTGAAAACAAGGTACCTTTTAAAATTTGAAAGTCAATACAGTTTGCACAGGGAAAATGCAGGGGATGCAGGGTAAAAGGTCAGTTATCAGACCACTTCTACAATAGCGGGGATGGAGGCTGGATGGGAGAAACTAAGCCCCCCACCAAGCAGTAAGCCCTGCTAAAAAAACAGAAGGAGAAAACTTCCTTGAAGCCAGAGAGAGAATACAAGGCATGGCTCCTTTGGGTGTGCAGATGCAAGCGGACCAACCATTCTCTACAGAGGGAGGAGAAATATTGGCTCTGGGGAAGAAGTTGGAGGAGTCTCCTAGTCAAGCCCCAGGCTGTTTTTAAAAACCTGTCTTTTAGTGGCAGACGTTCATCAGATAAGTGGCCAGTTTTCCAATATGTAACAAACTCAGCTGCACATGGGATAGGATGCTGGGCTATGGGAGTTCAATTGCTTCTACCAAAATGTAGACTTCAAGACAAGTTACCCAAAAATAACAGAACTGCAACCATGCAATACTGCTAAGTCATTCAGAAGTTATGTGTATGCCAGGACCATGCACACAGGACTAAAAGCCACAAGCTATTTGTGAAAATTAATCTTCATCCTATGTGGCAGAAGTTATACATTTATATCCTGGCTTGGTAATGTCTTATGTGTACAAGAACTCCAACAGGCACATAAAAATTTATTCACAAGGCTTTCTCCATTAGTTTGAGTGCAGGTAGCTGATTCATTTATTACATATATTGTACAGAAGGCTCAGTACTAGGTCTGAGGCCTTCACAATTTTTTGGCCAATAAAATAGATTCTTTTGAATCTGGCAACAATATAGAAATGCTTTTTTAACTAGGAATTAACTAGGCAGGAGGGATGAACAAAATGACATAAAAGTACTTTGATGCATGCACATCAGTTCTTAATGTATTTCAATATTTCCCCCCATAATGATCAATAACCCTTCTATTTAATCGCCCCCAATACTTTTCTGACATTAAGATCTTAAAAGTGTTAATCTTCAAAATGCTATGTTGTAAACTGTCACCATTACAGAGGCAAGTTATATGTATCCCTCATTTAAAGATAGGCTAGCCTGATTTTGTCAAATCCCAGAAGCTAAGCAGGGTTGGCCCTAGCTAGTATTTAAATGTGATTCCTCCAAGGAATACCAAGGTTGTGACCCGAAAGCAGGCAATGGCAAACCACCGCTTAACATCTCTTGTCTTGAAAACCCTATGGGGGGGGGGGGTCGTCATGAGTCAGCAGTGAGTTGACAGAAAGAAAAAAAAGTCAAAATATGCATGGCATAGAAAAATTTTAACATGTATACATCTTGTTCATATGGAAACTCCACATTACAGCAGATAACGACACAGTACATAAACCATGCAATACCAAAGACTTAAAAGGGTGGACAGATCTTCACCAATTCCTCTCCTGTTGCAGCCCACTGAACCCTCTGAAATTTTGTTCCTGGGAGTCAGTGGATCGGGGAGGATGCCACCCTTCTTACGAAAACTGAAGTCTTCAGAATATGTGGTTGGATACAGGCCATAAACTTGATATGCTTAAAACCTTATGAAATTTGAAGTATCCGATATACAAGACAGATAGACTCTTAAACTAAGTATTGAATAACTCCTTTTCTTCTCCATTGCCACTTAGCCAACTACAACTCTTAAAATATCATGTGTAATCAGAAGAAAAACCACACTAAATACCTTTTAGTATAAAGAAACTTTATTTTCATGGGTTTTGTTTTGTTTGATGAAATTCACAGCTTTGTAGTAAAAGGAAAGACCAAATCATTTTTGCACATGAAACACATCTTTACTTGTGAGAAAAGCCACATAGGCATAGGTTTCATCCCACTGAAATTAAACAAGTTCAGAAAACTCTGTTTACCCAACACCAATCTGTTCTTGCTTTGAAAGCTATACAATTTGAAAAGGTCTGAGTGAGTTCAAACCAAGGCATTTCTAGACAGAGAAAAATGAGGGGCTGATCTTTTTGCCTGCTTATATGTGACATAGAAAATCTTCTTGCTAGGACCCTAGACACCTAGGGAATGAAGCTCCTAATTAAAAAATGAATATAGAAGCAACAAGCAACCAATTATGTGAGCTGTTCAACATGAATCTTGAATATTAAAAAAATGAAATGCAGAGCTATGACAAGAATTTAAGTTCAGGTTGACATTTAAGGATGCAATCCACAGCTGCTACTCTGAGAATTCTGCCACTTCAATAGGATGTGGATTATACATCTGGTATTTCAGTCCCAACATTTTAGAAGTCTGTCCTTCATGCCGAAGTATTTGCTACAAGGACCAAACAGAAGCTGGGGTAGTCAGTGAAATGTACTTGGATTTACTGGTACCGACACGCTAAAGGTCAAGTAACTGAGCAGTCCCTAAAAGGCTGGTGCACAAACCACTTCCTCACACTGTACCAAAAAAATAATAATTCATGAAACAGGATAAATGGCATAAAAGAAAGGTCTATTGTGTTGGCATGCAGTCCAAATTCACTTATACACACCATGTAACAGTTTACTCAGTCATTAAGCCAACATATAAAAGTTAACAGTCCGCACACAGTCCAAAACACACTCCACAGTTCCCTCTGGTCACGTCATTTCTTTCTCTCTTTCCAAGACAAAAAACAGAAGAGATCATCATCATCTCAAAGATTTCATACTAAAAACTTCATCTTATTTGTGGAAATATGCTAGAAACCTGCATTGAACGTGACAGACATAATCTTAACAAACCCACTCCACAATTTGTATGCACATTATTTTATCCTTTATGTCTCCATGGCTTCCAGCAGAGCCTATAGGAACAGGCTAATTTCCTGCTAAAGAGGTAGAAGTGCAGAAAGCAGAGCCTCAAACAAACAACAAAATCCCTGAAGTATAAGACAAGAATATTTCTAAGAACTGAATGAGGACACTATGTGGCTCCAGTGGTATCTTAATGCAGCAGACTTACGTGATGAGACCTGATGTAACATCTTCAGAGGTAATGTGAATTTATGAACATTCATAAAGACCAGGTTTTGGAGCAGTTCTCATCCATCTTTCAAATAAAGGCCAACATATGGAAACTAGCATCTGACAAGACAAGCACACTTTATTATAGTTGAAGCACTCTGGAGACAAAAGGTCAAAGGCATCCCAAAACGGATTACAGAAAAATCTGTCTTCACACCCATCTTAAACATGCGCGCACACACACACCATCACACTCCTATTAAAGTGATCAAGAATACTAAATGATGCAACAACTAATGTAATGAAAAAGGACATTTCTTTTTTTAAAAATTGCAAGCAAAGTCACCATCCTCTTCCAATAAAAAAATCTCTCAAACCAGAAGAGGATATAAAATTAAAATCCATTCACTTACTAATCCTCAAGACTAGTATAAACACAGCACTCCACATACTTTTCAGTACAACACTCTGGCTCTGCGTCTTCCTTTCAAATTGAATTCAGCTATGGATCTAAAAGAAATTTTTCGTTCTCACAACAGTTAGATACCTTTTTTTACAGCTCAAATTCTCCACAGCATCTTGATAAAGCTTGGAGAACCTTCCCAAGTTTCTCCCTCTAGCTTCTCTCCCACTGTGAAGAAGGCTGCCCCTGCCCTCCAAACCTGCCATAATAATGTCATGGTGAAAACGTCAAAAACAACAAAATAGCCACTGCCTAGAAGCCACCTGCTAAAAGACAGTAGAAGGTCTGTTGCAGGGTGCTGTTCTCTTTGGAAAAGTGTTTTCAGAACAGAGCCTTAATGAATTGTAAGCAAAATGTCTTCAGTTCATTCAGGGAATGACCACTTGGTGAACGATAATGTAAAAAGAAAAGATCTTTCACCAGAAAACCTTATGAGGCTGCTTAGAAGCTAGATTTATCTGTTAAAAATATTTTCCCCAGTAGCTTCTGAGAGGCAAAATTCAAATATCCAGCAAAAATACTGGGGCATGACCCTTCACTACCTCAAGTTGCCCCCCCCCCATATTCCCCATTTACAAGCATGATCTTGTTCTTACCCTCAGCTGCAGAGAACACTCCCCTTGGAGTTTAGGATTTAAAAATAAACAAAAAGTAGATAATAATACTCATTCTTCTTTCAGAACATTCATGTTATGTGAAGAATAAAATGACATTACACAGCCATTCTCTTCTGCTTCTGTTACTGTATCACTTTTGGGGGGCTTATTCCATAGAAAAGCTAAGACTGAAAATGATGAGAACACTGACTACAAGAAGAAAGCACTTGAACAACAAAAAAGTGGGAACTGCTGGAATGCCACCTGAATGAACATTTCTTCCCTGTGATTACATATCCGTTCTCTGCACTGCAAACATCATCTTCAAGCAAATCTAAATGGCAATGGGTCTGCACACGCAAACATAGTCTCAGCTTCTGTTTGGGCCCTTCAGACTTCAAAATCATGTTTCAGATCCAACAACCCCTTGCTCTTACGAGGGAACTTCCAGTTATTAAAACCGGACCATAATGTAAATAACAGCTGTTAAAAAGTAACTATCCAAACATGTTTTCAAGTTCAAGTGTAAGCTGGACAGGAAGAGAAAATGTTCACTAAAAATGCAAAGACTCCAAAGCTCAACAGTTTAAGATGCCACAAATAGGCCAGAACTTAAAAAAAAAACACAAACATTCAGAATGTAGTCTCATTATTTTTACAAGACCAGCACTGAATAGATACAGACAACAATGCTTAAAAACTGAGATTGTTATCTGCACTGGTCTTTGCACCAGTTAAAAATAAAAACACCAATAACTTGGTGAAGAAACCCAGTAATATGGCTGTTTGGGTGATGCAATATCTATAACCCATCACCACAAGCTTCTTTGGGGGACAAAAATGTACAGAAAATCAAATTCAGCAGCGAGCAGCTGTGCATACCTAGCATTTAGAATTAAAGGTAAGTAATAATATAAACTGAAAGTTTATATTCACTGTTTAGTAAGGAGGCCACGTTTCATCCTATGAGGGGTACAAATATGTGATGGAAGTAAACAGAGCAATCGTCAATGATTATGTAATATTTCTGGAAGTTTTTTGAAATTACTAAAACTGTCTAAATCCAAAAGTATCGTACGCTTGGGAGATCCTTTGTACAACATAAAACTGATGAACACAGCAGAGTATTTAAGCACCAGTTTGAGTACTAAACTCTCCATCTTAGATATACATCATCTACTACTTTGAGAGTATAGAATAAAAAGGAAAGGAGTTTGTTTCTGCTGATGAATAAAAACGTAAAACATTTGTGATTGTTTGGTCTGAATCTGTCCATCATTCCTTTCTCTACAGAGCTGCCTGCAAAAAGCTGTCTCTGTTACAAAAAAAAAAAAGGCTTACTCCTCTTTGTACTCCAAGTAGTAACTCAGGAGGAAAAGGGATAGACATGGAATTTCCAGTATAGAAAATGTACTTCCCAATGTGGGAGGTGTAAACACTTCATGAGTCAATCTTGCTATCATCTTCTGCATGTTTTTCAATATGTCCCACAGCATCCTGAGTAGAGAGAGAGAGAGAGAACTAAGGTGTGTGTTTTTTTAACCAAACTGTACTTTAGTGTCCTTGTAAAGACTGAAGCACACTATCATTTTAAACTTCATACCAGAGTTGACAGCAAGTGCAAACAACTTCAGAACAAACCGGGACTCCCTTCCCTTCTTTTCCAAGTAGGCTTATCTTCCCAGTTAATATTAGGAATCCCCCCCCCCCTTTCTGGTTGTTTAATTTCCATAGACCATATGAGGGACTTGCATCAAAGAAATGGGGGCAGGGGATCAGCATGGGTCTTTTCCCATTTGCACCAGCATTTTCCTTCTTGGAGTGTCTCTGTAGCCAATAAGCTGGTAGTGACAGAGGACTCCTGAGTGCATACATTCTGGATATATGCACTTTTCTGCTATGGTCTAATGGCAAACGTAGTATTAGCACTATTGTCCCGTCGTCCCGTCCCCAAGACAAAACATACATACTTTATAAAGTCAGTATACTGAATCAATATGTATGGGGGAGGGGTGCCCCAACGGTTTATTCTCCTCCTCTGCACACGTCCACCAGTTTGCTTTTTTAACATCAGTTAATAAATCAGGTATTCAAGGAGATTTCTTTAATATAGAGAAACAACCTGAATTCTGTTGACAGGTCAATAAAAGATTTTTATATATCAGTGAAGACTAAAAAACATGAGGTAGCAGTACTGAAGAGTTCAAATTTGTCAGTACTTCTTAAAACAATAAAGGGGAAATGTTGGTAAATAGTTGACAAGAACTCTGTATTTCTTCAGAGCTTCCAGCTCAATGTATCTAACACTGGCCTCGCCTGCCTTCATTCTGACCTATGGGTTGGAGTCTACAGAACAATGAATGGTTTTCCACAGCAGCTCAATATCCTCAGAAAACTGGATCTGGAGCAGGGGTTGCAAGCAGAAGGGAGATTTCAGAATTTGTTCTTTCCTGTCTTGTGCAAGAGGCTACAACAGATGTGTATATTGGGGGTTGTAATTTCTGCTGATTTCCCCTTTTCAGGGGCCACAGTGGGAACCAAAGGCAGCAGAAATCTCCCACCCCACAACTCACATTATTCCTGCTCTACAGAATCCCATCTTATAACTCTACAGTGGGGGGTTAGTTTTTAAGGATGAGTTCTTCTGTTGATGTTACTTTTGCACAGGACTTCTAAGTGATTATCATTTCCTTGCTGCTAAATATTTAGAAAGATTACTATGAACATTCGTTAAACACCTGTATGAACTGTGAACATCTTACTGATACCATCACATATCCTGCTTATGAAAAGAGGTATTTCTGCTAGTGGACTTAGAAGGGCATAACTCTGTTTAGGATTGCACTGTCAATCACTGTAACAGACAGTATGAGCAGCACCTCATGATCTACCTCCACTTTTTGTTTTATCCAGTTTCTTTATGGCATACCTGCTTGGAACTTCTCCGGGAGGAGAAGAAAGCATCACAGTTCTTCCACCGACACTTTAGTGTTTGAAAGTTTGGGTTTGTGTGGTCATTTAACAAATGCTGTTTCAGGTGGTCCACAACTCCAAATATCAACGAACATCCATGCCACTGATGAGAGAATTAAGACAAACATTATGGAGAAGGCATGACAACAGCTTGCATTTTGTTCTTTTTCCACTCACTGTTAATTGTTAAACTAGCAATTATCTTTATGCAGGTATAAAACTGATGTAGTAACACTGATGTTGGAGAAAACACCAGTTCTCCTATCAGACTGCTAAAATGCAATCAAGCGACTTGCAAGGAAATTTCAGTCTTTCTTGCCACAAACATAATAATCAGAAGTGATTCTCAATATATCTCACTACAAAGTCATTTTACTGTGCTCAAGTAATTAAAAGGGGCTTCAGAAACGAAGCACCATATTATATGTTACTAATACAAAAGAAACCCTTTTTGCAAAGGACAACATTAATTTTGGCAGTGATCAAAGGATAAGGTTTATGAAGCCATAAGTTTCTTTGACATTTTCCACACAGCAACCTGCATTTCTGAAGAATGCTTTTTAAAAGCGGGTTTAGCTCTGCCACAACAGACAATAACTGTAGGGAAAACTTCAAAAGAAGCTAGAGCATTGTAAACATTTGCTTTGGATTGTGACTACTGAATTAGCAGAAAAGGGTGTGAAACCCTTAGTTCAATAAATGGGGCAAAACGAAACACAAGTCATATGATCTGAGAGCATACTGGGAGAGCTGATGACTTTGTTGTTCAAGATTATATACTTAAACTGTCTTTTAGTCAAGATTTCCTGCCTCTCTGTAAGGGCTCAGAGATCTCCATTCCTACTTGTATCTGAAAAAGGCAGCTTTGACTCTTGAAAATTATACCTCAGAAACCCTGCTGTTTCCTAAAGTGCTACTGGACTTTAATCTTGCTCGTCTACTGCAGACCAACAAGGCTACACACCTGAAACTATCCTGGTCTCAGGTTTTCAGCTGCTGATTAGAACCCCTACTTCATCCATAACCAGGCATTGAGAATGCTGGCATACAAGGCTGGGTTATCTTTTCACCGTTCTTTATTCACAGTGACTATATACTTGAGGATGTTAAGGGATAATATTAATGCAATAAAGTTCTGATCTCAAAAGGATATCACAGAGCTAGAAAAGTTGCAGGAAAGGACAACCCAAAATGAGGCCTTGGGACTTTGCAGATAGAGAAGTTTTTCTCACCACTGTGTATTCTCTCTTCCAAAATACTAAGACTTGGGATCCCTAATGAGATTGATAAATTCAGGGTAGACAAAAAAAACCCTTTAACACGTAATTAACAATTAATACATGAAACTCACTGCCAAAGCATCTGAGGATGGTTGCCAGTTTAGATACCTTTAAAAAGGGGATTATGTGAATTCTTGGAGGACAAGAAAACAGCAATAACCATGCAGGTTATGTGACCTCCAGTCTCTTCGAATACCAATTGTTTGAGGGGGAGCAGCAGAAGGACAGAGTTTTGGTCTCTGTGCCCCTGCTGTAGGCCTTCCAGAGCCAAAGCACTGTGCCCCCCCAAACCCCAGTTAACCCTACTGCTAGGGCACACTTGCTATAGGAATATAGCCCAAAACAGGATCCTTGTCAAAAGTTCTGTACCCTCTTACTGTTATGTTCCTGGCAGTCATCGAGGACTCTTCCATTTTTGGTGACAGCCACTGCAAGTGTTGTAAAACTAAAAAGATCTCCCTGTGAGTGTTCCCATTTTCAGTGGCATCTGAGAATTGAATATAACATGTCTTATTCTTCGTCCTACAGGCACATTTAGTATGATGCATCTTTCTGGGTCCCACAACCTTTTGTAGCATCCTTGTATAGAAATATTGCTTCTATAGTCACATGCCTTTTCCTGTGATGTCTTTTGATAACATGCTGTGTCTTGTTTCCTGTTGCAAGCCAAATGGTGAGGTCACATGGCCTCAATAGCCATGCCATAAACCCACATTCTTTCACACTTTCATGCCAAAAGTCAGACCTCATGGCTCCACTTTCTGGCCCACATACGACTAGTCACGTAGACCATGAAGTAGCTGGAGTTTGGGGTCAGATGACTGCAGGCGGGGTCCCAAACTTATAGCCTATCCCCACACGCAGCTATGACAACCAACAATTGGGCACACCCATGCCCACTCGCAATTGGCTGATGACTACATCTAATTTGTGACTGGAATTGGAGTATAATTGTTTGATCCCTATGGGAGTGAGCTCTCTTAGCTCTCCCTTCCTCCTCTTGTCATTATCTGTTTTATGGCACCTGAAATGTTGCCTCTTGAGAGACAAAGAGTTGCTTTGTGACTTGGAGCACATGGCTGTGCAAAAATGAGATTTCCCTTCAAAATCCCTTGGACTATCTTGGACTGATGAATACTCCTGACGTGGTAACTATGAATCATTAATGTTTAGTTAAGGCAAACAGCCCTAGCCTTTGTTATTTTTGTAATCTCTGGTAGTCTATGATAAGCTCTGTAACTGAATAAAGATCCTTCTTATTGTTAAATTGTCTTTGATGTTGTAACTGAATTCCAAGTCTAAGCCTGGTGCCTAACCCTGACCACATATGCTACCTTGGTAAGAGTGTGCATCTCTGGATTGAGTTGCTAATGTGCCCTGTCCCAGATGCCAACTAAGGGCTCAATCTCTCCCTTAGGAAAAGCAGGGACTATTGAAGAGAGATTCTGGTGGCAAATTGTTCTGAAACCAGAGAGGGTATAGACCATCTCATGGTTTGTTGTTTAATGTACTGAAAAGTACAGAATTCCCTCCCATCCCTGGACTGGCCTGGGTGGGCTAAACCCTGTACAATCCTATTATTAGTATGGTCTGTGCTGATCATTCAGAAGCTAAGTGGCGAGGAGAACTTTCCTCAGTTTCCTAAACTGGACTAAATAGGCTTCAGGCCTAGGGAGCAAAATGCTGTGTTCTTTACCCAGCAACGATAATTCTGCATCAAGTTAAGCCGCACAGCTTGAATACTGCCATCATAGCAACCAGTGTAGATCTGAAAAGGGGGAAAAGTGGTCTCATAAAAATCATACAATAAAAGCCTTCAAAAGAGAATTAAAGCTCTGCTAAAGGTATCAATTAAGGATCCTAAATTCAGAATTACAACAGTGTAAATGCACCCCCCCATCTCCTCCACATTATGACTATACTGTTACAAGATACTCAACAGACTAGATATTTTGAACAAAAATAAAACAGGTTGAGAGGTAGAAAGGGGGGAAAAGGATGTTTCAAACCATGATGGAAAAGTCCCAAATCTGCAGCTGACAGTCTTCTTGAAAAGGATACTTGTCCCTATTTCAAGGTGAGTATAAAGTACAGACTTTAGGTTTTCCTCTCATGCCCTGAAATCCCCCCCTTCCTTCCTTTGCTGTGAACATACAGTCCAATGAAGAGTTGTTTGGTGAGGCACACTGGGCTGAAAAACATTGTTCGTAGGCAGTATACTGGGTGGGGGATGTGGGGGAAACTCCTGTTATTGAAAGGGACCAAGCATAAAGTAATTTGTATAACCCTGACTACGAAAGAGAGCCAGCATGGTGTAGTGGTTAAAGTGTCAGACTAGGATCAGGGAAATCCATGCCTGAATCTGCACTCATACCATGGAAGATTGCTGCGTGACCTTTGGCCAGTCACACACTCTCAGCCGCATCTACCTCACAGGGTTGTTGCGAGGATAAAACAGGGGAGAGGAGAATGATGTAAACCATTTTGAGCCCCCACTGGGGTGAGAGGCAGGATATAAATAAAATAAATTTCAAAAATATGTGGAAGGAGGAAATCACTCCAAGATTACCATTACCACAGAAGAGAAATCACTACTTTGAAGGAAAAATGTTTACCATGCTTTTATGAATGGTCATGCACATAATCATGTCCGAGTGTCCTCCGTAGACTTGCAAACGATCATGAGACTTGGGAGAAGGAGAAAATTAAAAGCATCAGACACTTCACAAGTTGAGAAATCTGCACTGTTCTTGAAAATAAGTTTATACAACTAAAATGCACGGACATAATAAGAAACCTAGGTCTTGCCATGCTTTACAGTTTTACCTCACTCGTAAAATCCTAATGCCTTCCAGCTATACAAGGCTACGGTAGACTCCCCAGAGAAAGCTATTGAACAATGAAAGACTAATTGTGTTGATATCCCACAAGTTTTGTCAGTCATAGCAAACCAGCAAGGAAAACCAAATGTAAGAGTAAAGCCTCCAACTGTTGTGCAATAGTGTGGCAGAGTTGATCCAGTAGACAAGAACAGACGACAGCTGAGTTTCAGTGCAGTGAAAACTAGCTGCTCAGGACTGTCTAACTCCTGCAGAGCTTCCTAACTGCTAAAACTCAGGTTGGAGCAAAGAAGATTTGTTCCAATTTGCATCTCATTAAATGCATGGAAGTCCACAGCAAACTAACCAACTAAAGAATCCCAGTTTGCAGGAAAAGAAGTTGCAGAACAGCACAAAATGCCACTTTTTGTTAGAGCTGATATTTGTTCTTTTACCTGCAGCTCATAAACACGAACAAATTTATCCAAGCAGGCTGTTACCATAACTTTCCCCAGGATGTTCACTACTGTCACAGCATGGTTGTGTCCTTTGTAGATCCGTACAAGCTCCCCTGTCTGTAACAAAAATTAACTGTAAGTACAAGTACAACGCTGTGAGCTTGCACATTTCTTATATTAAACCTTGCTGACAGAACAGAACTTTAGTGGCATTCCAATTCTTTTAGAGCTTGGTGGTGGAATGTGCCATCAAGTGCTGCAGCAAACCAATGGCAACTGCATTAGATTCTCAAGGCAAGACTTGTTCAGAGGTGGTCTTGCTATTGCCTGTCTCTGCTTAGCAACCCTGTACTTCCTCGGTGGTCTCCCATCCAAGTACTAACCAGGGCCAACCCTGCTTAGCTTCCCAAGATCTGAAAAGACAGGCTAGTCTGGGCCATCCACGTCAGGGCTTTAGAGCTATCAAGAAAGAAGGCTCTACAAAAGGTCAGTTAACACTCGACTTCAGGCTCAGCTTTTCAGGACTCTGCAGCTGCCTGCAGGGAGGGCAGAGCTAGCACTAGAAAATGTGCCCATCCAGAAAGTAAGTGGTTAACACTCTATAAGAATCTATTATGAGCTCATTCTTATTTATGCATTTCTCAGTAGAAAGAAAAAACCTCAAATGTACAGATACAAAATACATGGGAGATAATTAGCTAGAGGAAGCTCATTGAGGAATATCCTAGCAACCATATTTTCTCAGGGCTTTTTTTTTAATCATGTGAGCAACTTACATGTATGTTGTGGGCATGGACAGATTGGTCACTGGAACCACTGAATACCAGGTCATTCACAACCTTTTAAGAGAGACAAGACAACCAGATGGCCTGATTACTGAGGATATTTTGAACACCCGTCTTTCTCCCACCAACTCTGTCTTGCACATTTTAGGCCTACTGTGACAACACAATGAAATATGACAGAGACTATAGCAGTGGTTCCCAGCCCTTTTGGTATAGTGTCCCACAATCCCAAATTTACTTGGTATGGTGACTCGCTTAAGCAAACAGAAAAATGCACGCACAAATCAATAAAACTGGACCCACAGGTTGGGAAATGCTGGACTAGGCACTGATGGATTCATCAGTAACCATTTGCTATTTTCAGAGGAACTACACACCTCTGAATAAAAGTTGCTGGGGGAAAACAATGGGAAGGCTTTGACCTCTATGTCCATTGCTTCTGGGTCTTTCAGGATACCTGGTTAGATACACCCTTGGTCTGAGCCATCAGGGCTGCTCTTCTGAACGACTCAGCACATACAGAATTCATTAGGAAGAATCCTGAAACACTTTTAGGTAAGCCAGGCACCTTAGACTGCAATCAGACATCATGACAAGCTAAAATTAAACTCCAGTCAGGCATTAACCATTCACTGCTGTGCGTTTGGATGTCTCTACCTCCTCCCAGATCTCTCAGAATTTTAGAATCCCAGCTTGTGTGGAATAAACATGCTCCAGGCACCTGCAGTCAGCCCAAGCAAGGAAGTTTCAAGCCTAGCTCTGCAGAGCCAAAGATCTTTGAAAAATAATTACATTTTTAAGAAGATTATTATTTATTTTGAAAATTTACATACTGTCTTTCCAAAGGCTGGCTTGAGGTGGCTCAAACAGTAAAACAATATAATAAAATCATAAAAGCAGCATGAAATAATCAGAAATAAATAGTGATAAGAACAAGCCACAGCATAAAACAGTAGCCTAAAGAGAATATTTAAAAAATACTCCTCAAGCTAGAAAGAGACTAAAAACAGCTTTAAAAGACTGAACCCCTTAGTTAAAAGCCTAGGTAAAAGGAAAATATTTTGGCCTGATGACTAGGTAAGAAAGTAAGGTAGGTATCAAGTAAACCTCAAAGGGCAGGGCATTCCAAAGATGGGGAGTCAACACTGGAAAAGCTCTGTTCTGCCTCACCTCTGCTGGTGTGCTAGGAGAAGGGAGACAGGAGGAGTGAGGGGTGTGTACAAGCACTGTAATAAACGCTGCAGCCTGTTGTGACATATGAATTCAGCCTCAATTGCACCATCAGTGTTTGTTCCCTGATAGTATTTGAGGTTTTGGAGTTTCTTTTGCTCTTTTCATAGGAGACGTAGAGTAAGACATGCCAGTCACCTAAAAAAATCTAGCTAGTGGCAAGTGATGGTAAAAAAAGTTTTGTAAAGTTTTACTGGAGACGACTTTCAGTTTGGATGTTCAGAAAGAAACATTCAGCATGCTCTGAAAATCCTGAGTGTCGTCATATAGGTAGTTCTGAAAGCAATGGGATTTGATAAGGTGTTGAGACGGAATGGCAGAGGGTCACTTAGGGACTCCAGTGGAGAAAGGAGAAAATTAGCTGCTCGTCATGAAAATAAGCCACGTGTGACTGCAAGTTACATCAATTGTACCAATGTTTGGTTGGTGACTGATACATTTTTTCAGTTTTCAGAGATTGGAAAACTGCTGAAAGAAACCTGTTCTTAAAAAGGCCTTATTTTCTGATTTGTTACCTTCATACAGAGGACTGTTTTGCTATGACCTTCAAGGGTTCGAAGCAGAAGTCCATTTCGGGCATCTCGCACGCTGATCGTACAATCGTAAGATCCCACAATTAGCAACCTGCGTGCTCCTTCCTGGGCTGTAGCTAGACAGCTAATTGCTCTGGGACTGTGGCACTCAAAGGTATCACCTTGTTTGTTGTTCTGAGGGAACACACAATGTTAAGCATTATTGACAATATTTCCTGGTAAAAGCAATCTCCTATTAAGAAAGTGTTACTTAAATAACATGTCACAATAGCATGACTATTCAATTTGCCCGTTCAGGTTATTCAAGCAAAAGCATCTTTCTCTATAACCTCCTTTAATTTTATAAGTAGGCTTTTATTTAGAAAATTTAAATGCTGCCTCTCCTGATACCTTCTCAAGACATCTCACAAAATAAACAGCATGGAGTGAGTTTATTTGTCCATCCAATTTATATCTTGTTCCATCCCAGAAGCTTTAAGTGCCCCACATAGTACTTCAATTCTTAGATTAAAGAACAAGTTCCAAACAAAAATTAATTATCCTAAATATTCCATTGACAACTCCAACAGGATCTTATGGTACTTCTAAGCACGAACATGCACAACTGACTGCCTGGTGCCCAGATTATTTTGAAGCCACAGAAGTGGTGGCACTAGAAATGCTGGTTATCTTTTTCAGGTAACCATGTGAGTTTTTAAAACACATATTCATAGATTAGATGTGTTCAGCTATAAGTTTCAGAAGATATCTTCCTGAGTTAAAAGCAGGAGCTAAGGGAGGGGGAGGAAAGAGTTTAACCACCATAACATTGCCACTGACAGGAAAACTGGCCCACCTGAGCTGATATTAGACTTAACCGGAGGGGAGGGACCAGACAGGCACAAAATGGATGCCTGTCTTTTTTCAGCTACTGGGCTGACCACAGCTCCTGGGGGTGGGGCAATTTTCACCAAGAAATGACAGACAGGAGGGGGATAATATCCCTATTATCTCCAGTTCAAATGAAACTCCTTATAGCTACATTTTAACATTAAAAATAGATTTCTTATTTAATATGCAGTTCAACTTTGAGCAAGGCAACAAAATATAGGCATTTTTAAAGAGGTGGGACTGAAAGCAGCATCAAAACCTCTATCATAACCCTAACATTATGTAGCAAAAAAATTGATGTCTCATGTATACTGGACACCCCTGAGATCGTTTAGAAAATACCTCAGCAAGCAGCTGCAAATACAACTAAGACTATGTCCTAGATTCCTACAATGTGGGCATGACCAGAAATTTCTGTTTTAAACAAAGGTACATATCAAAATATACTGGTGACAAGCCTTTTGTTCAGAGATATATCCCAAAACACCATAAATTTGGCTAAGCGCTTGGTGCACGATACTGGAAGTAACAGAGCTCCACACCTCTATTTGCCCCTGGACAAAGAACTGATCCACCTTTCCATGTATGACATTTTTCTACAATTGGAGACAAAGGCTCATGACAGGTGGTCAGCCTACATGGGCAGATTTGCGGATTATCTGCTTTGTTGAGCATAAGATGCCAAATACTATAGTAAGACAGAGTCTACCCTTTACCCCCAGTATTTGGATAATGTAATGATTTGTTTAGTCTTGATGGGGGGGAAAAAGGTTGTTTTAAATAATTTCTTCTTAAATGTGACAAACTGTGAAATACCCTATATAATTATTTTAAATCTTTCAGAATAAGTTTTCCCACCTCTAAAAGGACTACCAGAAATAAACTTATTGTTTATTTTCTTGGTATAAGTAAAATGTTTGAAGAAAGTGATGTAGGGGTTATAGAACTCCTTAGGGGTTCTAAGCTGTGGCTGGCTGCACTAGGCTAATTTGTTACCTGCATGGTGGCCAGACCTTTACTATTAGAAAAACTGTTATCTTACCCATTTCCTAATCACAGCAGTAGACCCTGCAATCTTCTATGAGTCCTCATTTCAGACATAATGAAACTAGCAGTTATTTATGAGAGTTACCCCATGTAGAAGTATAAGTATCCTGAGTCTATGGAATATATCTCTCTCATACTGACCTTTATGCTGAAAGTGATCACACTGCCATTTGCAAGTCCCGCATAAAGTATTTTCCACCTACTGTGCAGACAGAGTACACGGTCATCTAACTTAAACTGATCAATAAGTTCTCTAGTCTGGAGAGAGGAAATAAATAGCATATTAAAAGCTTTGTTCACTACAGTGTGAGAAAGCAAGAAAGTCATGCTCCACAGATGAAAATACTTAAATCTGAGGACACCCTCTGATGACTCTAACCCAGACCCTTTTAGCTGTATTACATACTAGGAGTAAGGCCTGTTGTGGGAAGAAATACAATGAGTCCTAGAAGGAAGCTCCAGGTGAGTGGCTGGTGGGGCGGCAGAGGGAAGGGGAAAACAGAGGGAGGCAAGTCATGTTTATTTCCTTCTGCTTAGCTATAAGGCACGGCTGTCTCAAGTCATTTTGCTTCCCCAAGTGGGTAGTATGGGAGGACAGCCTCATGGTAACAGGTATGGTTCCCTCCACCCATGACTTATGTTGATTTGAGGTTATGCAGTGGCAGCTAAGGTAGAAAAGCACCTCCTCCTATGCCATGTCTTCTGGGTTCCAAGGGTCTGGAAAGCGGTTTCATAGTCAGTTACAGGGTTGCTAACTCTGGGTTGGGAAATACCTGTAGATTTGAGGGGTAGAGCCTGGAGAGGGCAGGGTTTGGGGTGCGGAGGGACCTATGGTATAATGCCATAGAGTCCATTGCCCAAAGCAGCCATTTTCTCCAGGAGAATTGATCTTGGAGATCTCCAGGTGCTGCCTGGAGGCTGGCAATACCAAGGGGAGGGCCAGACCCGTAGATCTGAGGGGTAGAGCCTGGGGAGGGCAGGGTTTGGGGTGCGGAGGGACTTCAGCAGGCTATAGTGCCATAGAGTCCACTGCCCAAAGAAGCCATTGTAATAGCTGGGAAACTTTCTGTAGGGGGAATGATGTGCTGTGGCTGGGGAATGCAGTGATTTCTGGGAGATCTCCAGGCCCCACAGGGAGATTGGCAACTCCAGTGACTGTTTAAGGGAAGATTGGGATATGTATTTTGGCAACTCCAGTGACCGTTAATGGGAAAATTGGGATATGTATTTTACCTCAGGACACATTCAATGACTCGCAACAACAAACTGTTTAGAATGTTAGAGGCAATGGCTAATCAGGCTGCATATGCAAGTGACCTCTGCGTTCCGACTGGCTATTGGGGGGAGAGGAACAGCAAACTGTTTAGAATATTGGAGGCAGGACTCAGGCAACACAGCCAGTGGATAGGGAAAGCTTCTGAATGACATATCAGGGAGCGAACTGATTTGGGAGCGTGTGGAATGTTCAGGAGAGTCCATGACCAAAACAGAATTATATATAAGGAGAGGTAGCAGCAGCCCCTCCCCCCAACAGCAGCGATACCCTTTGGGGACCACCAAAATGGAGCACGCTATTTACATTGTAGTCTTGGGCAAATAAAGCAATCCTGCCTTTTTGTTAACTGCATCATATGAAAAAAGAGAAGTATCTAGAATAGCACACACAAATTTGTTGATGAGATTGCACATCCTTGGATAGATGCTACTGTGTCTATAATTACCTTGATGTTGTAACAATTTATATTGTGGTCGCTGGAGCCAGAATAGAGAGCTGCATTTTTCCCATTAGTCTGAGTAACGAGCAGGCAGTTCACTTTTGAAGTGTGTCCCTCAAATACACCAACACATTTCCTGTTCTGGGTGGAGGTGAAAGAAGGTATTCATAAGTTTAGTTTACACTCTGATCCCAAATTGAGGCACCACCCAAGCACTGCATCTTCCAAATCAACCAACCTATTTCCTGCTTATCTGTGTTTATTTTAAATCAAATAATGCGTTAATGGTACCCAGTTGGTGCTTTCAAGTTACTTGTTTGTATCCTTAAAAATAAGTCTGCCTAGCCTCCTGGAACCTGATCTACTAGATGAGCATTTCTAAATAAATGTTTTCGTAAAAACTTAGCTATGTTTCAAAAGATCTACATAGATTTCTCTCTAGTTTCATTCAATGCATCCATCATGGTCAATCCACCAAGGGGTTCACAGACTTAACATCTCATTCAGGAATGCTAGGGAACACTGAGAGCTAGCTTCTTTATCATAGCTTGTTTTGCAAATCTACTTACCACCAAGTTATATGTACGGATAGTTTTGTCTGCTGAGCAGGCATACAGCAAATTCCCAAAAATCTGAATAGCATTCACTGCAGCTGCATGTCCCTCAAATACTCCTTCTGTAGGTTCTTCATCCTCCCCAGGCTCTGAAGAGACTTCTGTCAAACACACAGTGGCCAAGGCCTTCTATTAATCAAACTTTCTGCTTATAATACCAGGATGAATGAAACTTCCTGGTTTCCCCTCAAAACAAAGAGACATTCAAAATTGGCAGGATGTTGTGCTATTACAAATTTATCCCACTATAGCAAAGAACACAGAGGAACTGTTACGAGTCCCCTGGCTGAGAGAATCAAGAACAGGAGCCAAGTGGCAACTTTGAGACACCAGAAACATACCACAGTGTGAAATGAGGAAGCAAGAGTTTGTACCAAAACTGCAGTTGGCTTAGGGCTACATCAGGAATGACCTATGAATCTTAATTACAGTAAACACACACACACACAAAAACAAAGGCAGAAGGGATGTTCCCACTGTACCACTTAATGTAGTAAAACAAGTCTCTAGATGAAAGCCAAGGAGCACTCTTGGAGGTCTCTTGGCAGCTACAGGCAAGCCTGGCGACAGCAAGCTATCAATTGTGATGTGAACTGCATCGCTGTTATTTTGCTGTGTTCCAAGCCCTGGGTTTATATGGCCATAAGCTGACATCCTGTTTGGCCCCACTGTACAATCTGAACCTTATTTTGGACCATGCCAGCAATAACCAAAGACAAACAGTCAAGACAAAGGAGACTGGTTCAGCTCTGCTACACCAGGGGAAAAAGGGACCCCACTCTTATCACCTTATGCATTACCAACAACCAAGAAGCAAGTACTGTCCCAATTTGTTTCAAAGAAATTAGTCTAGTACGTGACATGAGAATTTTTACTCTTCTAAATATCAGCTTCCCTCCCTTTTCACCAACTTATGAAGGCTCATTTTTTTGAGGCACCTTAGAAAAATTACCACTCTCAGAGATAAGTTTGTACTTCTGTCAAATTCTAAAGAACCCAGCAATTCCTCACACCTAAAAAGGCCTCAGCATTTCCCCTGTCATCTCAATTAAAAACAAGCAAATGGATATACCTGATGAGTTTTTTGATCCTCGAAGTGATGATATAGATGTCTGGGTCTCAGCCACTCTACAGAATAAAGAGAATACCACAGCCATTACAAAACTTTAAGCCACACAAACAACCCCCCCCCCAACCTATCAGTCTTTATATTGTATACCATGGCTTGGGTCCTTATTTGCCACTCCATTCACATTCCCAGTGTGGGTGGGGAGAACAACTTTTCAGATTCACCCTCCCATTGTAGATCTCCACATTGCTGCTGCCCCAGTCTACTGATTCACAAGAGCACAAATTGGGGAGGGAGTCAGCTGCAGTGGGAAAAGGGAAAGTTGCCTGCCTCTACCGCAACTCTGCTCATGTGGCTTAGGATGAAACCAGTTGGAGCAGAAATACCATAAATGGAGTTCTGGTAACATAATGAAGCTTTCCTGACTCTCATCTTAGCCTAAAATTCCCGAAATTTGTTACAGGGGACCCCTCAGGAACAGCCTGGGATTGAGTGAAGGCCTGTCACAGGGGAAAGCGGACATTGTGGGACCTCACACGTACCCCTGCTGGTGGAGTATCTTATGACTTTATGGATCTAACCCAGTATTTATGTCATGTGCCTGACTAAAGATGCCAGAGGTGTCCTAGAATATTAGAGACAATATGCAATAAGGTGATTAATCAAACTGGAAGCCAACAAAACTTATCACTATCTAACAAACAAATTGCAGCAGCACAGCAGCATCACACACATGTGTACATTTTCCAACTCACCTTCTACCAGTGCCATCCCTATAGTTTGTTCCAATCTCACTAGTAGAGCTCACTTCGTCATAGCCAGACCGAGATGCTTCTCTCAAAAGCTGTTCTGAGGCACTCAAGGAATCCCTCTTGGAAGGGCTGTCTGGTTTCTCATCTCCTGATTCTGAAGAAGTGATGGCCACTACTTCAAGTGGAGATTTGGGGACCTCCACAAATTCCAGAGATGCGTCACTCTCATTCTCATCCTTCTTCCCATTTTTTCCCTCAGTAGTCTCTACATATTCTTGCTTTGGAGGGGTGGATGTTGTAACTTTTTCTCCTTTGGGCACCTTTATAGACTTGACTTTCCTGAAAGGTTTCGAGTCACTTATATCCTGCTCTGTGTCACTGTTCTCAGGCACATGGGCTGCTCGCAGTGCTTTCTTCTTCTTCAGCTTCTTCTTTTTCTTGCTTACTTTGCTGCCTATGGAAACCAGAGTAGAAACTGCCATCTGCTCGGACTGTTCAGTGGCCTGTTTGGGATTTTCATTCACGGGTGTTTCAGACGGAGAGGTTCTGTTCTGAAAGGAACTAGTGCACTGTTCTGAGATGGGGTTGTCTGCTGAGCCTTTGTTTTCTTCTGTCTTCATTGACACTAAAGGTGGAGAACAGCTAAGGGGGGAAAGGCCAGATAAGCAGGTAGTCTCCTTATCAGGAACAGGATCTTGAATATCTTGATTAGGTTGCTGAAAATTAGTGAGTCCTGACAAGGACATGGCAGCAGAGATTACAGGGTACATTGAAGATTTCTGGCTTGCACTCCCTGAAGAAAGAAGATGGGATACGTATTTTGACATAATCTTCAACATTTATGCACCCTAATCCTAACTCTTGAAATCAAGCTGTAGTGGCTCAGGTTCTCCTAGAACCTTCTTGTCCTGCTCTTGGAATGAGTGGGAAGAGTAACCCACTCAGGAACACTCTCCTACACGGAAGGAAAATGACAGATTTTAAGATTAAATTCAAGCCCCATTAATCAAGACGGTGGATAACACACATACTACAGCCACCAGGATAGCAAAACTTGTCAAGCAGTAGTATTGAACTTGGAAGGACCTGGTCTGTATCTCATATTTAGGCAGTCTCAGTAAGCTAAGCAGTGCCTCATTTGCCCATAAACACCACGGAACTTGTAAGAACTTGACTTTTTATTCTGTGGTGGAATGGGCCTGCTCCACCTGCAGGCCCTGTTCCACCTGCCTTCCAAGGTTTTTTCAACACCTGGAGAGGCTTTCTCTCTTTCTGGTAACCTGCCACTACCACCTGATTTTTGCAAGTTCTTCCCTTCCAAGTTCTGAGGCCTTGCCTCTGTGTCTACCGCTGCCTGGCACCTGGTCACCACAGGGACCATTTACTGCCTTATGCACTCCTAGAGGAATAGCCACTTGCTCCTTTTAAAAAGTGTGTCCAAGACGATATGTGGTACAGAGAAGCACTACCAGCATCCAAAGTCATAAAGTATTTATTAAAATGAAAATGTTCACAAACATACTTTTAACATAGCACCAGATTGAGCAAGGGATTAAAAAGAAATGGGTAAAATGCAATTCCTCTGTCCCTCTCTATATACATGCCCTATCAGATGTTAAAATACAGGACAGGCTCCTTTTGCTTATGAAGTTACAGTTCTCTACAGTTACCTTGCAGCTTTTTTCAGCTCTTTAGGCCAGCACATGGCCAATGGCTGCCTCCTCGAGAGTTCTGTCTCCTCTCATAGACTCAGCACCCTAACAAAGAGAGCTTCCTCCTTGCTCCCCTGAGTTTTATCACCTCTCTTTTCCCCTCCCACTGACCCGCTCAGGCCAGGTCAAAGAAGCTTCTCTTAACGTCTCCAGAAATTTCTTCCTGAAGAATTTCTAGCCTTAATTCCTCCAAGTCTCTCTTCCCTGCTGGGGGGGGGGGGGGGGGGTGTGCGTGTCTAGATCTGTTAGCAATTGTATAAAGGCTGAAGTAAGTCTGGAAAGCAATTGAACTGACTTCCCCCCTTCCTGTCTATTTCTGAGGGGAATTTTTTTTTTAAAACCCAGAGCGAAGGTTTTGCTCATTTCAAACCTCCAAAGAAAAAATGTGTTTCTTCACTGTTCTGAGGATGTGTATCATAATTGATGTAAAGCACTTTGTATGCTAGAACTTCTATATAATATATTTATTTATTTTATTTCTACCCCGCCCTCCTTGCTATAGCAGGCTCAGGCTTATTAGCAACCAGGCTTGTTGGAAAGTCTCAAGTGTAGGATGCTTTTCTAACAATGAGATGTTGCACTACATTATTGCAGAATGTAATACAGGTATCTGAAAGTGGTACCTCCTGAAGCCTCTTAGAGCATCGCTGAAAGGATATTTTTTGGTTGCAGGATCAAGAAATTATTACACTTTAATCAACACAGCATAATGCAGTGATGGGGAGAGAACTGAGGCTCTAACTGGGTTATTTTTCTTCAGAACAGTAATGAGGAGACTAAAGCAATGATACCTCCCCACCTCCCATTATCTTGATTTTTAAATATTTCCAAAAACAGAGAACTTAGCCTAACCTGGAAGCTCTTTGATATGTTCCATGGGTGGTGGTCTAGATTCTGAATGCTGTTCTCTAGCCAAAAGAAAGTAACCTTAGAGAAAAGGCTGAGCTAGAAGCCACACCCCATTCCTCTAAGACAATCTTCTGACTGCAGTAGACTTCAAGTTAGATCTGTCTGAAATTTCTCTTGATAGAAGAGAGAGGGCTGCTTTTTGCCAGTTTCCCCCTTGTGTGGCAAACTTCACAGTTCTACCTCATGCTGTTCCTGGGACTCCCCAGTCCCCCAGAAACGGCACTGGGGAACACTTTGGGCTACAGTGGAAGACAAAGTCAGGGAATTTCTGCTCTGCTCTTGGAAATCCCTCCCTTATGGAAATTTTGAGCAGGATCCAACCCTTCAGCAGACTGGCTCCCCCTACCCCACTCTCTTTGCTGTGCTTTGGCTCCACTGAAACAGCAACAGAGATGTGCTTGGTCTTACTAAGACTGATCTCTTGCTCACTTGCAGCCAGGAAAAGGGAGTGAATAGTGGTGTTCAAGGTAGCTCAGAAATAGGCAATGTGCATGCATACACCCCGATAATTTAACATAGTAACACAGTTCATCTTCTAATGAGTTAAGCTAACATACCATCCTGAAACTGAAGTTCTGCTTGAGGAGAACAAGGAGAGCTCTGGAGTGGTATATTCATGCTCTCCTCTCCAGGCTTTGGAGATGCAGGTTCTTGCTTGATTTGAATGGACGAATCAGGAACTGTGATGGCTCCCATGACCCCAGTAGTTTGAAATGCAGGTGGAACGCTTACTTGGATGGGGGCTGCCACGGCAGCTGGGGATATTTGGGCTGAGAGGGGTGATGTGCTTTCCAGAAGAGGAACAAGAAGACCTGGATTAGCATTTAGGCCCTGTGTCAGTGGAAGCTTGCAGTTTCTTTTTTCACTCGAGTTGCTGGGATGAACCTGCTGTTCCGAAGGCTCATACGTTTCTAGAGAAACAGAAACACTGTACTTCAGCAAGATCCACAGGTGCTGAAAGGCAAGGTCAGAGAGAACTGCACTGGACGCCTCCTCGGAGAAGCTGTGTCCAGCATGAAAGTGAGCCCCTGTGCCTCTGGTAATGGGCTCTGTGTGTATGTTGTTTCAATGAGGCCTCATTTTGAGAGAAGCAAGAGCAAGCTAGTTAAGGTCAAATATGTTTTAATCTGTTTTAAATTTTATTGTATTTATTAAATTGTTGTAACCCGCCCTGAGCCCATTTACGTGATGGGCAGGATATAAATGTGAAAAAATAAATAAATAAAAATAAATAAACAAGCCTGTTGCCCTTTCAGGGTGCTCGCAGCCATAGCATGACACTTGACCCAAGGGGAGATGATCTTATGTTTCTCAATGAATTAAAGCTCTCATAAGTGCAAACAGGCCTTTTCAAACACTTGTCCCTTAGGAAGCTTTCCTTTTCCAAATACTTTAACTGCAGGACACGTCTGCCTTTATTGGTGGAAATTTATCTTTTTTATTGTTTCAATTTTTTAAGATAGTATTCTTCAAAAAAAAGTCTGTCAGGAAACTTGAGTGAGCATCTTTAGTAATAATAATTTTCCACATGTAAACAATGAGATATATTTATACGATCAAAATGCAATTAATAATTTCAAATACTCATGATGATTGTGCAATAGCTCTTTTTGCTGTTAAAATTGTATTTGGGGAATGCAAACTACTCCTTTGCAGCTATTTATATTTGGAACTGATTAAGCATACGTCTGATGTTAGGTTATTTATCTTTTAAACTGTTAAATATTCTTTGAAGTTAGTCTATGGAACTGTGAAGTAGTTCCACTTGATGCTAGAACGCTGCTTATACTTGTGATGTTAAAAAAAATTCTATGGCTAAAACGGTGGTTTGGATCCCACCAGCTGTTTTACTCAATCTTGCCCAACTCACTTCCTGATTACAGCCCCGTCCCACATGGCTTTGGTTACTGGTGGGGCAAAAGCGATTCCCCTCCTTCAATTTCACTGGTGGTGGGAGTGCCTGGTTGGAACAAATCTGGTACTTTTGGAACTGTGCAATAATTTATCTGAGGAATGATGATTTATTTGCTGATGCAAATTACTGTTTGGCATTAGAAAACATCTACTGCTCAACTGGTTGATTAATATGATGTATCTAGGATGGATGCACCATACAAATGGAAACCTCATATTCCTGTTTTTTAATTGTGAAAGATTTAAAACAAATGATAGAACCCATAATTAGATTCTAAGAAAAAAATCTTAAGGCCTCTGAACAGAGAATGAGTGATGAAGTAGATAATAAATAGCTACTGTTGAATAAGTGAGAACAAGGACTTGGAGTTATGACATTAAAATGAGCATCTAGCCTTGAGACTGCCTGCTAGGCTACATCAGTCACAGGGGAGGTAAAGTCCTATTTAAAATGGGAAACTTTAAGACTGAATAATAAAAATACAATGAATTACAATTTTAAATAGGAATGCTGGATAATAAATCTAAAAAAAACCCCACTGAACCAAAATCAGAACCGTGGAACATACTGAAAGGGAAAAAATGTGGTCTGTTTGACAGACCTTATGTCTACAATAGCGAGCTCTGATTTTCATAACATAATAAATGACCCTGCTTACCAAATTAATGCACAGAATGTTAAACGTGTTGATTATTTTAAAAAATCTTTATTCCAAAGAATTTTAGCTATGATAAGAGGGAAACTGGTCTATTACATGTTTAAATCAAGAGGGCAAATTTTTGCAAGGCTGAGCTAGCACCAAACCCTAACTTTTCCCAAGTACTACTATGCTAGGCACCTTAAATGGGCCAGGAAGCAGGCTGTCAAACCGCATTCTGCAGTCTACTGAATTCGATAAATTAGGGTTTCTTCTTCCTGCCTCTGCATTCACTCACTTGTATTGGCAAAGAGAGCTGTAGGGTCAGGGGACCATGCTCTTTCCCCACAGATTCTTGTTCCTTGAATCTCAAGGCATTTAAAATATTCAGCATCTCTATGAGAGGTGCTGAGTCATGGGCAAAATTCAAACAATGTTTTTTGTGTGCTTTACTTCATTTAGCATCTGGGAGAGGTTCACTATAAAGAGATCTCAGAATCCCACCATGAAGGTAAAGAGCTGCGAACATCTAAGCCTTGCGTCCTATGAATATTGGGTCAGTAGAGCAATATCACTGTTCCAAATACCTTGAAGCCCCTGCAGGATCTCAATTCTCTGGCTCCTCAAAGTACCCATTTCCACAGATATCTAAGGAGAGAGAAAAAGAATTCTGATCAGGTTCGTCAAACGACATGATCATGAAACCACCAAAGCTAGAACTAACGGAACTCAGATGTGGTCACCTGTTGTTTCAGTACAAGGAGCCGCTGAACTTCAATATAAGCTGCCTGTAAAGCAGCTCGAGCCTGTAGGAGGCTTCCATCCACACACTGCAATGACTTGCTCAATTCTTCTTCCTTCAGAGAAATAGACAACAACTGGTCTACCTGAGAACGTTCTGGAAGAGAAAAGCAAGTTACATGATTTGACTTGGCACACTGCTTCTTTTAGGATGTTTGAAAAATCTTCACTGCACTTGGCATAAGACAGTTTTCCAAGGCCTGATTCATTAATGCAGAATTATCCATGGCTGCCTGGTGAAAGTGGACTGGTAGACAGAAACCCCACTTAATCGTACTACAGTTTTCTCACAAATGGCCCATGGCAATGGAAGGTTAGCTTCTCCAACTTACTGAGCACACCAAGGTTATCAAATAATGGATGACCATGTACAGATTACATACTCATCTGATCCCTTTTGATTTAGGTACAGTCCTCATCTGTAAATGGCCATCCTTTATTTGAAGAGCATGGTATTTATTATTTATTTACAAAATTTATATCCCACCTTTCTGCCCTTACAAGGGCCACCAAGGTGGCTCACAATTTAAAACGTATTTATTTATTTATTCATTTATTTCATTAGATTTTTACCCCGCCCTCCCAGCAAAGCCAGATCAGGGCGGCTTACAACAATATAAAACAATTCATTAGATACAAAAACTGATAAAACCCCAACATTAATTTAAAAACACAAATATACAACATGATAAAGTGCTAGCATTAGTTCTCAAAGCTCGGTCTGTTTCTTGATCTACTACAAATGTCCCAGGCACTCAGGTCTGCTACAGATGTCCCAGGCACTCGGGTCAGATTATGCTTAGGGGCCCAGAAAGTCGGACTTGCACCCCGAGGACTATCAGATGTCAGTGGTGGTGATGGTAGTGGTGGTGGTGGAGGCTCCAAAGGCCTGGCGGAAGAGCTCCATTTTACAAACCCTGCAGAACTGTAACAGGTCCCGCAGGGCCCTGATCTCCCCTGGAAGCTCATTCCACCAGAGTGGAGCCACCACCAAAAAAGCCCTAGCCCTTGTTGAAACAAGTCTGGCCTCCTTGATGTTCAGGAGGACTAGCTGATTCTCGGTCCCCGATCGCAGTGCTCTCTGGGGAACATATGGGGAAAGGCGGTCCCTCAGGTATGCAGGTCCCTGGCCATAAAGGGCTTTAAAGATCATAACCAGCACCTTGAACTGAATCCGGTATGCTTTAGGCAGCCAGTGCAGTTCTTTTAGGGCGGGCTGGATGTGTTCCCACACAGGACGACACAACAGCAGCCTCGCTGCTGCGTTCTGCACTAGCTGCAGCTTCCTGATTTGGGCCAAGGGCAGCCCAATGTAGAGGGCATTACAGTAATCCAATCTTGAAGTGACCATAGCATGGATCACTGTTGCCAAGTCGTTGCATTCGAGGAAGGGAACCAACTGCCTAATCAGCCTAAGATGGTAAAAGGCCGACTTGGCAGTGGCCGCTACCTGGGCCTCCATTGTTAAGGAGATGTCCAGGAGCATTCCCAAACTCCTGACCTCTGGCACTGGCACCAACGGCGCCCCATTGAAGGCTGGGAGTGGGATCCCGGACCACCCCGACTCAGGCACAGGACCTCCGTCTTCGTCAGATTCAATTTCAGCCGGCTCAGCCTAAGCCAACCAGCCATGGTTTGCAATGCCAGGTCAAGATCTTCTGGTTTGGAGTTGGACCGGCCACCCAACAGCGGATAGAGCTGGGTGTCATCCGCATACTGGTGACAACCCAGCTCATACTTCCGGGCAATCTGGGCAAGACGGCGCATATAGATGTTAAAAAAGCATTGGGGACAACACTGATCCTTGAGGCACACCACATTCAAGTGGGTGCCTTCGGGACAGTTGGTCCCCTAGCACCACTCTTTGTCCCCGATCTTGGAGGAAGGAAACAAGTCATTGCAAGACCAGTCCCCGTACTCCAATGTCGGCGATAAAATTACATTATGTGATAAAATTACATTATAAAACCATTAAAATCAACCCCTCTCCCAAACAAGAGTTAAACAGAGTTAAAATACATTCAAAACAGTTAAAACACATACATAATGTAAAAAAATTGGTTAGGAAGGCAGGATCACTTAGGGATGCTAAACGAAACAAAAAAGTCTTCACCCGCTGGCAGAAGATGGCAACAGAAGGGCAGAGATGAATCTCCCTGGGGAGAAAGTCTCAGAGTTTCGGTGCCATGACCGAGAAGGCCCTCTCCCAGGTTGCCAACTGCCTAATCTTGGAAGTTAAGGCACCCAAAGCAGGACCTCCAAACATGACCATAATGGTTGGGTGGGTTCATAAGGGATTAGGTGTCCTTCAGGTATGTGGTCCCAAACCATATAGGGGGCTTTGAAGGTTAAGACCAGCACCTTGAATCGTGCCTAGAAACAAACTGAAAGCCAGTTTAGGTGGACTGGAGTGATATGGTCCCTCCTACCCACTCCTGTCAACTTCTTCTTGGCTGTAGCGTTCTGTACCAACTGAAATTTCCAAACATTTTTCAAGGGCAGACCCATGTAAAGCACATTGAAGTAATTTAATCTAGATGTAACCAGGACATTGCATCACCGTGGCCACATCTTTCCTGCCAAGGAAAGGCCACAGCTGGCTAACCAGCTGAAGCTGGTAAAAGGCACTCTTGGCCACAGCTGCCACCTGCTTATCCAGCTGTAGGCCTGGGTCCAGGAGCATCTCCAGACTATGGACCTGTTTCGTCAAAGAGAGGGCAACCCCATGCAGGACGGTGACACCTTAGATGCTGGGTCAGGCCTTCCACCCACCAGTAGCACTTCCATCTTGTTGAGATTAAGCTTCAGTTTATTAGCCTGGATCCACTCCAAAACTACCTCTAGGTATAGGTTCAGTGTTTCTACTCAGTAAATAATGGAAGTTAGCCTCCACTGCCATTTGGCAAAAACCTGTGGTCTAACTGTCCTGCCCCACTAAGATTTTGCCATGAAGGATCTAGACTACCGAAAAGTGGAAGAAATAAAATCTCTATGGGAGACCTCCTCCATAAATTTTAAGCTAGAAACAGTAACTACATCCAACATATGTATCTTAGGCAGGTCCTATTTGTTGTATTTCTAATAATTTATGCATATCGTGTTTGATGTAGGCTGCTTTAGGTCAACCCAGGGAGAAAAAGGGAGCATGAACACATACACAAATAACACCATGCAGCTTGGCTTCTCACTATCACCTACCTTTTTTGCCTTTAATCTTTCTTCGCTTATTCCTTCTTTCTAGACTTGGGATTTCAGGAGATGACCCCTCCTGCAAATTAAAATACAAATATTCCTTGTTAGCTAAAGTGGGATAATGGTGGTTTTAGACAATACCTGCAGATTTAGCAGCTATCCCTGGCTATGAACATATATTTGGCCAAGCGAGATTTTGAACAGACAATACATTTTCAAAGTGGCAAACTAAGATGACAGTAAGAATCACAATAGTAGTTATGTCTCAAAGACTCAAGGAAAATATACTTAATTTGGCCTAAGGGCTGATGGAGAAATAAACAGTACTGATCAATTATAACCTTTGCACACAAAGATGCAGAAGTAAGGTATGATGGACCTGAGTAACTAAAAAGAATGTGCCAAAGCAGGGTATAACACCACACTATTTATTTATTTAAAAAATTTATATGTTGCCTTCCCACCCAATCAAGTTCCACAAGGCAGTGAACATTAAAGAATTAAAGAATTTAAACAACTAAAATACAATTATAATTATATAATTATTCAATTAAAATACATAAAGAACACTAGAACGAGGGCCAATAACCATTATTAAGAGTATGTCAGACAAAACAAAAATATTCACCCGCTGGCGAAAGACACTGATAGAGGGAGACAGATGAATCTCCCTGGGGAAGGAGTTCCAAAGACTTGGTGCCAGGATGGAGAAGGTCCTTTCTCAGCTTGCCATCCTTCTGGCCTCAGGAGATGGGGGTAACTGAAGCAAGGTTGGTCCCAGGCCGTACATGGCTTTAAAGGTCCATACAAGCACCTTGAACTGAGCCTAGAAGCAAATTGGCCTTTTTTGGACATCACCTCAAGATTTAAGTGGTTAAAAGTGAAGAATCAGGGTGAATTTAGCCCAAGGACTAATTTAGTTTTTATTTATTGGTGGTTCTAAGTGAGATTTTAAACTGCTGTCTTTTATGTGTTGTGTAACTGTTGTTTCATTTATACTGTAATCCACCTTGAGTGCCACAAGGTAGAAAGGCAGCTAGTAAATGTTTTAAATAAATAAATAAATAAATAAATAAATAAATAAAATGTCCACATATCTTCCTGGCTTTGCCCTCCCTTCAACAGTCCTTTCCGGCCCAGGGAAATTTTATTCCCAGGGTTGTGAAGTAATAATGAAGCAGGTTGATGGGCTGCAATGAGAAAGGGTGAAACTGCTCCCTTTTTCCTTTTCCATCTGCATAGGCAGAGACTGCATCCCCCTTCCCCTACCCGTGTGGCTATTACTCTGTACAGGCCCCACAATGCCGGGACTAAGCTTCCCCGGGATTAAAAAGAACTGCTGAAGGGAGGAGAAAGTGGGGATGATCCATCACTGTCAACAGAAGGTGCCAATGGATTGCTGGATGCCTAACAATATTCCTAACAATATTCAGACAACTTACTCCGGTTGCTCTTCTTTTTTTGCCAATTCCCTGGCTGTCATTCTGTTCATTGCCAGATGTATAGCTGCTATCAGTGGCTGCATCAACAGTGCTGGATGCAGCAAGGGCTGAAGCCAAACAGTATCTCTCCCCTGGAATTTCTTGCATATCTTGGCTTTCAAGTAGCTGTGCTCTGTATTCTGGGCTTCTCTGGATTTCTTTTGCACTAACTGCCGCCAGGCTGGTAACGTCAGGGGTCATCTGTAGGCTGAGCCTCCTTTCATTAGCAATGGAGTCAGTTCTAAATGGTGATGAAGGGAGAGACGAGGCCTCTTGTTTCACATCTGGCTGCAACTGGAACTCAGAAGTTGTGCCTTCGGTGACAGTTTCTGAACTGATCTGGCTTTGCTCATTGTCTTTGCTTGGGCCGTGACTGCTGAAGAAACTGTAAGCAGAAGCTGTCTTCTCTATCACCACACTACTTTCTGAAAGGCTACGTTTTCTAATGGGCCCAGGGGAGCCGAAAGAGATCCCTTCCCAGTGGAACCCTTCAAGACTGGTCAGATCAGGCTCCTCACACAGCCCAAGACCTTCCTGTTCGTTCTGGATGAGAGGGACCATCTCAATGCCAAACCTTCAACAGACAAAAAAAATGGAACATTTAACGATGAAACCCTATCCTGATCAACACAGCTGTAATAATTTAGGTTTACCTATAGCTATGCAATAGCAGTACTATGTGACCTGTCCCCAAAACTGAAACTTCACAAATGTATGGAAGAAACAGCAAATAGGGTTCTTTTTCATGAAAGAATATGTTAACAATGCTTTCATTTAATTAATCAGCATGTCTCAATGTTGCATAAAGGACAAGAGCAGACTAGAAGGCTATCTGAAGAGCATTCCATCTCTTTCCAAGGATGGCAAGATCAAATTGACAGTACTTAAACCTGCCAATAACTTTGCACTATTCATGCCTTCTCTTTAATATTCAGAAACCTAGTGAAGCAAGTCTAACTAGGCTTATAGCATTCCACCTGTGCTCTATTTTTTCTCATTCAAAAGCCAAGATTCTTTCTTGGAACCAAGCCCTGGTGGTAGTTAGCTAGATGGAAGCTGCAACAGCAATGTGGATATTTTAGGGAACTTTGCACATAAATGTCCATTAAATAAGAAACATGAAGCAGTCTCCTCAGCCTAAATTCCTCACCCCCATCTGTATAATACTATTTTAAAATAAACTGTATGCCCTGAGTGGGCTGGAGCCAGCGAATCTATCAGTGCAAGGAGTGTGACTTTTTGCTACATTTCCTGTTGAGGCTGTAGCATAAAGCAACCCTTTTATTCTCAGTTACAATAATTTACACTGCCACTGCACTTCCACCTGGCACATTTACTGGCTATTCTACACACAATGCCATATGATGATAATAATATCTGCTTTTATTTATGATTTTGCACCTTACCATGAAAATCGATGAGGTATTATACAATAAATTATTTCTTCAGAGGCCAGATGGAGGCAAGACAGCAGCCAGGCAAGATTTTTTTTGCTTTTGCATGCTGCTAGTTTTTAATGAGTTAATTTTTAACCTCTTCTGCATAGGCTGCTTTCACAGCATATATTGAAAAGCAATATATAACCAATGACAGCATAGTAAGAACCAAACTTAAGGCAGATAGACTACAAACCTTGGTAAACCTTTGCCAAGCTCTTGTTTCTTCTTTGTCACTTGCTGAATGACCTGCTCCCAGTTTACATTTCTACGAGAGACACTGATAATCTGCCTTAATGTAGGCTTGAGCCCCGATTCCTTCTCTGCCTCACTCTTTCGATGACCACTAACATTCCGAATGCGCCTGGCGCTGTTGAGGTTAGGCTCTGGTAGATGTGTACCAGTTTTGCTCTTCAAACTAGCACGCCATGTCAAGTCTCTTTGGAGGGATGCTGGAAAGCCAAGTTTACTCAATTCAGGGAGAAGAGGACCTGAAGGCTGCCCTCCTGCACCTTTCTGCAGCTCATGATTTAAATGAGCTTCATAATCTTCGTCTTCAGGATGAACATTTGATTTTGTAACATCTTCCTCTCCGTCCTCTTCCTGGGTTGCTTTCAAGTCAATATCTAAGTTGCGTTGAGAGTGTGATAGAGTTTCTATGGACTCCATGTGGAATTCAGAGTAGTTTTTGTCAATATGCTCTGATTCTCCTAGGCTGTTACCATTTTTTCTTGCAGTATGGTCAGTTTCTGCAGGTTCATGGGATAAACAAGTATCTGAGAGGGCACTTTTGGTTCCTGCTATGTCTCTGTAACTTTCTTCCTCCAACCTATCTATCTGGGACTCACACAGGGAATGTGCAGGTCCCTCAGTACTACATTCTTCATTTCCATCACTATGAGTTCTTATGTAAGTGTTCAAGGAAGGAGTCTGCAAAGAATGGCTACCATGCAGCTCTTGTTCAGCTTTCCATAATACTTCACTTAGGCTTTCATTGCTGTCCAGCACATTCCCGATGCCTTTGGAATTATTACATTCATTGCTTAGGTTAGATCCATCAGAGGAAGAACTGTTAGCCTCCGAATCTACTGTGTTCAGTTGACTCTGACACTCTCCAGAGGATAACAAAAGCTGGACATGTTTCAAGATATTCTTTGGGCTTTTATTTTGAGAAGATGGCTTTAAATCTGGAATAGCAAGAAGTGGAGACTTTAGGGATGGCATCCTATGGCCTCTGCTTTCAGCTTGGTCCGATTTTTTCCCACTGGTGCATTCAGTTGGCTCTCTGGATGGCACACGTTTGTTGGATGCTGCTTTTGAACTGGGGGGTACTGAAAAACTTTCTTCCCATTTTTTAAATTTCAGCTCACTGGTTTTAGGATCTGTCCATTTTGGAGTGGAGGATGATAACAGATGGGCAGAATCTGCCTTCTCTGGTACTTTAGTCACATTCTTATCAGACAGTGGTGGCTGTTCTACAGTTTTCTGGGAGGGATATGGAGCCCAACGACTCGTCTTTTCTCGAGAAGGGCTGCTGCTGCACTTTCCATTTACTTTGGACGTTTTGCTATCAGGCTGCACAGAAGTGCTAAAGTTCAGTAACCCATCTGGAGGCAGCTGATCACTAGTGAAATCCAATAAGTAATTGCTGCTGTCATTTTCATTCATGTGGCCTGTATAAGATCCCCCAGACCCACTATCCTGCCACTGCCATGAAAACATTTCTCCACTGTACTTATCCTGAACATTCTTGCTTTTAAACCAGGGAATATCCAAACTGACTAATTGGGAGAGACTCTTTGCACCTCTATTTCTTCCTAAATTCCAGCCACCTCCACTTGGCTGACTGAGTTTCCAATTACCTCCAGAGTTTTTGGACTGCCAATTAGAAAAGCTATTTTTCCCTTCAGAAGTCCAGTTGGAATTTCTTCCTCTGCCACCATGATGCCAAACTGATGGCCCACTTCCAGAATTCTGATGCCAAGTGCTTCCAGTATTCCCATAGTTATGATATCGATTTGAAGATACTCCAGAATTATTTTGATGCCATCCAGGCCTTCCTCTCTGGCTGCCGGGATGCCTGTTTGTGTTATTTGGGTTCCTTGTAGAATGTCCAAATTTGCCTTGTCTAGAATTTAAGAAGCCATCATTTTCCCATTTCCAGTCTCTCTGAGGTTGCCCATGATAGTACCATGATGATGAATCATAGGCTTCTCTGTCTTGATAAGTTCTATCATCTTGCCGTCTTTGTGACCTTCTGTCTTCAGTTTCTGTTTCATGGTTCACATGGCAGGCTTCACTTGTCCTATGAAGACACAAACTTTTTAAAAATGTTGTGATTACTCCCACTCACTCCTAGTAATTGTTCGCTTTTTTAGAAATAAAAAGATTAAACCTTGTCCCAGATCTCTCAAAATGATTTGAAGTGGTCTTTTGCTACTCATTTGGTAATGACAAGCAGTAATTCTTTGCCTGGGTAGTATAAAACCCAATGAAGTGTTGCTGAGTAAAGTCCTAGGCAAGCAGCCCGGACAAGCCTTTCAATGAACATCTCCATCTACTGCTCATTAGTTTTAGCTTGCCTTTAATTTGAAACTCTGACGCACACATTAACCTAAAGAGAAAAAAGATAACCCAACCCGAACTTCAATAAGTAAAAGCAGTTCCAGGCTGCTTTGTCAAAACCAGCAAAGATAAATTCTCTTTTGCTTTCTCTATGGCTTGGATGCTAGTCTTTTTTCTGCTTTTGGAAGACCCTTCTGATCAACCGGGGTGAGGATGATTTTCTATCTGCAGACCCCTACTTCTCCTCCCATGGTATTCCTAGGGATCCAAGGACCACCACCCTCCAGAACGTGATTTTGGGAGGATACAGCAGGCCAGGCTATTACAGTTCTGCTCACACAAGACATAATCTGCTTCCATGTGACTGCTTGAAATGTGGACTTGAAATCTACTTTTGCACGTTTTCAAAACATGCATATATGAATGACTGGTGTATTTTCAAGCATCTGGCTCCTTAACTGTGAAGCTTTCACTGCTAGATGATACCCCAACATTATTTACAGTATAGCCATCCATGAAGTCATTGGCTGACATGACAAAATAAGTTTCTGGCAATGGGAATGTTTTCTGGAGAACTGCATGCCCCCTGAGAATATCCCAGCCATCTACATAGCATGATCTAGAGAGGTATATTTATACCATCAGTGCCCTTCAATAAATTCAGCTTCCTGTCCACAAACTGCCATTACTAAGCAACCTATACTGGTCTTCCTACTCACAAGTTCAAGAAATCGTTTGGGGATTTGGCATGAGTGCTGCTCAGATTTGGATATCAGGAACTGATCTGTCAAACATTATCAGTTCACTGGTCAAAAGGCTACTTTTTTTTTTTTGCATGGCAAATTTTTCCCTGAAACCAAGAAGCAGTAAGTGGCAGAAATACACCCAAGCTGACATCTTAATGGCTAGGCTGAAGAATTCCCTGTGTCCTTCCATGTAACTGGAACACTCAGAATTGTAGGTTAAGATTTTAAGGAAGGCACACTGTAATTGCCCAAGCCCATTTGTCTTTTGCAACCAACCCCTCCCCCAAAAAACCCTAGTACCCAGTGTTGGTTCTTTGGGACAATGTGGTACCATTTGTTTTAGATTGTTTAGAACACCAGTTTTCTTGTACTGCCACTGCAGAGTACTACAACAGAGACTACAGAGTACTACAACAGAATGAGAACAGAATAGGAAGAATGTGAATTAGTTAATGGAAGGTGATCTTCTTGGGTATGCAGCTATGAAATATTACACCCAGGGATATTTTTGGGCAGGAACGCACAGGAACGGAGTTCCGGCTGGCTTCAGAGTTGACCATGCCCACTACAGCCAAAACCTCTGCATGTGAGGCTACAGAGGGAAGACCTGGAGAGTGACCCCCCCCCGGCGACTCCGAGGCGGGCCGGCCAGGGGAGGCCCTGGAAGGATCGGGGAGGCATTTAAATGCCTCCCCGTGTCTTCCCCGGCCTGTCCAAGGGCCGGCTTGCCCGGGCTTCTCACAGCCGCGGGGCGCCCGGGCAAGCCAAGGGAAGGCAGTTTAAACTCCCCTCCCCTCCAAGGGCCAGCTTGCCCGAGCTCCCCGCAAGGGAAGGCATGGGTGTGTGGCCTAATATGCTAATGAGCTGTGCTGTCAGGGGTGTGGCCTAATAGGCTAATTTCCACTGCATCTACTGTTGGGTATGGCTTATTATGCTAATGAGTTCCTGCTGGGCTTTTACTACAAAAAAGCCCTGAACAAGAGAAATGTAAGAAAAGAAGCAAGAGCTCCTGAAGATGAACATTAACAAAGATTTATTCTAGCCATGGAAGACAATGGATACTTTCAATCAACATGCATCATGTTTATAATACACTGCTTTCAAGACCATTTTTCCACAACTCTTATGCTTTGGCAGTGTACCCACAAGACTGTATTTAGGCTTGTCAAGAAACTAATAGGGTAGGTTTATGTACTTTCCAAGAGCAAATGCTGCTGTAAACAGCAGAACTGATCTGACTGCCAGACTAGAACATTCAGTGTCAAAATGCAGCAAGGGCAATTTCCCCTTTCTCCCTGTAGGCTAGTGGAGACATAAGGGCAGGAACATTTCACACTATGGCACCCCTCTTTACAACTCCTGATCACGGGTATGCTTATGGTTTCGGGTTCCATTTCCTTTTTTAAACTCTGACTACTCTCAAAATCTCTAGTAGCTCCATAAATGGGAGTCAGAGATCACTGAATTTATGGAACATTGCAAGTTCCAAGGAGAAAAGTCAGTCATAAGGTTTGTGCATAAGTGTCTGGGGATTCCTTATCAGCTACTAGATCAAAGGACAGAAAGATATGTAAGTGCCACTAACGATTCCAAAAAAACACCCTTTCTAGTGTACCAAGGATGCTACCACTAGGAAATTTTAAACATGTCTTGGAAAATCCCACTACTAGAGTACATAAAAATATATTTTCTGGTTAGAGGAAGAATCACATCTATTAGAACACTGACCAGTATGGGTAATACATAATTTAGAGAACTGGTGAACTTGGATCCAAAGATCAAAAGGTACTTCTGCTTATGTGGAAGGGAAGGGTGACAGGGGCTCCACTATTTCTCCCTCCATCTATAGCACCTGTTCCTCCAGACACTGGCTCCTGAAAGGACCTTTGAAACTCCCATTTAGGGTACAGGGGATTATAAGCAGGAGGAACCAGTAGAACCCCCACACAAACAGGAACCTTCTATTCACACAGCAAGATCTTTGCTTATACCTCTGAGTAAGCAACAGTTGCATAAAGTAACAAAAGTGGACTCTTGGTCTTTAAATTGTATAACATGATACAAGTAATGCACACTTCACTGTAACTTAATATGCAAGTTACACTTCTGTAACTTAATATGCAAATGTGCTGAAGATCTAATATGCAAATATGTTGAAGATCTGTTGTAACAGAAACAGACATAGGGCAGAATTTCAAGATCTAAACACACTGGACTGATTTTTTTCCAGGCTCACTTGAAAGACAGTCTCTCAGAACCATAAGTTAAAAGCAAAAAGTTATAAGCAGTCTACTTTCACAGGACTAATGTCCCACTACAAAGTCTTACAATTACATAATTTCCATAAAATATGTACATAATTATACCTGCATAACTCTGAAACACAGTGCACTCAATTTATACTAGACACAATCTCATTTTGCCCGGAAATAGGCAGTGTGTCAATGCTACAGGGACAGATACTGTGACCTTTTTGAAAGGTCTAAACAGGATATTCACAATATGAGCTAGGAACACAGTACTTCTTGAAAGGAACTCAATACATTTGTTTAGATGTGTGTGCAAGAAAAGATCTGCTTTCAGCTACAGGATCAGATCAATGTGCAGTTATATTGTTTGCATTAGGGTCAACGTTCACAGTTCTCTGCCCTGAAAAGCGTGATTCAGCTACATACCAAATATCACAAGCTGTATACTAAAAATAGTAACTTATCCAGCTCTGATGACTCTTCCAACTGTAGGCGATGGCAGACTATGCTAAGTGCCCCGAACAGCCTTGCAAAGAACCCCCGCACTTCTGAACTACTGAAACATGGATACACTCACCGGTTCTGCTCATTTCTTTGCTTGATTAACTGGATGAGTTCCTTGTCAAAGTATTCTTCATCAGCCTCTTCCTTCCCTTCATCTCCATCATGGGCTTCAACGTTGTCTTTGTGCAGCTGGCTGGAGATGTGCTTGGCATATGATGACAAACCCACCACTGTCACCCGACACACCTGGCACTCATGGTTGCTGTCCCTGGGGAAAGATGGAGAACGTGGACTTTCAATTCTTCCCACAGGCATGGCAACCAATGCTGATCTGACTCAGTTTCCTCTGAAAGGGCAAGTCCGCGGGTCAATCACCCACAAGGTCTAATAGCCCACACTAATTTTTTTCTTTTAACTTCATAAAATCTTATCACTTTTTCTTTCGCAGATTAGCTGATTTTGATGACTTCTTGGTAAGGTTTTAGACTTTTTTCCAACAATCAAGAGGTAAGAGACTTGGGGGGATAATCAGTGTCAGCTGGAATTCTTCTTGGATTGTTGTACTCAAAATCTTGTCAGAGGAAACATTGTGGAGGTGGTGGCAGAGTGGAGGGCTTGCAGAGCTAGCAGAAGCCGCCCTGAAGCACCTCCATGGTGCCAGCTGCACTGAGAAAACCCAGTGACGGAGTCGAGATTTAATCTCCGTCTCAGCTTTCCCCCTCCAATGAAAGTCAGCAGAAGGGAGGGGAGAAAACACTCCTGTAACCAATCCTAACGAAGGGAAACTTGAACTGGGACAGCTGGCACAGTGGCCTGGAATTCAAAGACTCCCATGGCACAGCAAATGAAAGGAGGGAGTCTCCAGTTTACTGTACTTTATTTGGTACAGAAGACACATGTGAAGTCCACTCTCTACTTTGCAAGGGATCATCCCTAAGGACACAAAATTATTTCAGTTGGAAGAAGCCAACAACTGTGTCAGACAAGTGGCCATACTCTGATTTCAGCAAAAACTGACAGGCTTGCAATTCTTGCATTGTCTGAGCAACCTAGTTGCAAAAATAAGGTTACTCCGTATGATAAAAAGGGGTGAACAGCAGTTAACATATTATATGACAGTGTTCTACAATACTGTGATATTCAGCAAAGAAACTGCTTCAGAGTGTAAGGTTCTACTTCTGACAGTATGGCATGCTCCGAATTCTACTTAGACACTGGTTGCACTCAGACATCACATTTAACTGGAGTCAAGGGGGGGGGGACACACACACATGTACAAATTGAGCCAGGTGCAGGCTTGCAAATGTACCTCACTCCTCCCCACTTCTTATGCAGAGAACCATGGTTAAACATTAGAATCAGCTGCCTGTAGTGTACAAATGCAAATGTGGGAGCTAACCAAAGTTAGTTTCGTTCCCATCCATGTGGATTCTAAGCACGGATTAAACCAGGGGTTCCCAACCTCATTGAGCCTGCAGGAACCTTTAGAATTCTGATACAGAATGATGGATGAAACACAAAATGGCTGCTGTAGGAGGTGGCATCATCCACAAAATGGCAGGAAGTGATGCATAATTCTTAGAAATTCTTCAACATTTTAGGCAGGAGCTCTGCTTAACAGGATGCTTTTTAAAGTGAACAAATTATTTAAAAGTATTTTCTTGCTTACACACATCTTACCCTCAGTCACACAGTAAAGAACTTTGTGCTGTGGTGTCAGCTACAGCCCAAGTAACATTTTTTACAAATCTGTACAGCCAATCAAGTATCCAATGGCCACTCAGAAGCGCTCCACCTGGCCTTGCCCACTTTCTAAAAACACTATGGGCAGGTACCATGGCACCCACAGGCATGGGGCTGGGGATCCCTGGATTAAACTCCAGCTTCAAATCCTGGTTAATGGCTAACTCTGATTAAACCATGCATCTAATAATAATAATAATTACTATTATCATCATTATCATATGGCAGTGTGTTAGTATAGCCAGGAGCTCCTAAGATTGTCTGGCAGTCAGAATTTCAAGCTCTTTTAGAGTTATGCACCACTAGGTGGTAAGCTAGACTTGTTTTTAAGGCAAGAAGTAGTTTGCCATTGCCTGCCTATGCGTCACCCATCCAAATACTAGCCCATCCAAATACTAGCTTTGGGTGACCCTACTGCTGAGATCTGACAAGATTGAGCTAGCCTGGGCTATCCAGGTCAGGGGACAATCCATGCATCTATATTTGTACATCACAGGTAAGCAGAGTGATTCTCCACATGAGAAGTGGGGTGTGTGTGCCAAGCAACAAGCTGTAAATGAGCTCATTCTTCCTGAACCAGAGTTAACTATCACTGAATGCAGCTTCAGTGAAGGGATGAAAATGTTACTTGCTCTTAGGCTACAATCACATGTGCTTTTAGATCCAACATAGATGTGAATGCCTGACGGATCTAAAGGGACTGATCAGACAGCAACATCTGGGAAGCGTCCCACAGTCATCGGCAACCCGTGCTGCTCCGCCGCAGAGGTGGAGTTAAAAGACACCAGGGAAAGTCCAGTACTAAATGGGTTCTGACGAGCTACAGACAGACTTTCCCCTGTCTGATTGCTCAAGCACGCTCCCAAGCTGTTGGGATGGTCTGATCAAGCCATCCCGGTTCAGTGCCATTTTCTTCCCCCTCTTCACAGCATGCACATCATCGTATACTCCATAGGGGGACCTCAGTGTGGAGGTGCAATTCCTCATTTATGCACATGGGAAACAAATGGCCAAATAAAACCCGACTCACCCGCAGTTGCGTCAGATCACACAGTGATAGGCTGCACCCGCAGCTACAAGGGAGGTGTGATCTCACAACTGCGTGTCAAATCCCTCTGGAGGGAATAGCCTCGCTTCCCCTCCGCTTCAACTGGCACGTGTGGCCCCAGCCTTAGTGGGGTGGCTCTAGCCACTCTGCTCAGTGAAGTCTGAAGCGGTCCTTCCATTAGAGCTCCTTCAGCTGGAGGAAGGCTCCTGTGGCTGGAGGAAAGTTTCCAACTTTGCTGAGCAGAGTGGCTGGGGCCACTCCAGGGTTTCACATTCAGAAGTTATGTCACAAGTTCTCTCTTTGTTCAAGACACATCTCCATAACCCCATATTGTTTCCTCATTGATCATCATTCTTTAACTCACTATTTAGGAATTACTGTACTAAGAGGATCTATTGTGTGAGTGTGTGTGTTTTTTTTAAAAAAAACTTTTGATCGTCTATTCAAGGAAAGGTAAACATATGTTTAAGCACTTTACTTTACATCAAAGCTTCATGCCATTGTCTCTTTGTAATGTGGCTTTTAGTACAGCTGTGAAATCACTTGGATAGAAATATTCACTAATGAAGTACCAGAGATTCCCATCTCTGGCGTTACAACCATCTTCAGTATTTTGCAAAGAATTCCCACCAAAGGAAATGAGGCCCAGGAATCTCCTTCCACCTCTGCAATTTTTAAAAATGTGAAAGGCAAAACCAAGGAAGAGATCCTTCACCCACTCACATGGTATTAGGACTAATGGCATTCAGCATACTTTAGTAAGAGAGTCCAAATGAATGTTAAATAAAGAGTAAGGCTTTTTAAAGGGGATTTCACTCACACTTAAGTTTTATTTTATTTTTTAAATAATCTTTATTGCATTAGCAAGAAAGCCATAGCAACTGTACAGGATTAAAAAAAAACCCACACACTTAAAATTATCAAATTTGTATATAGGTCGACAGATCAGCAGTAAACTAATTAAACTCAGGGAGATTTGTTTTCTTGATCACCACAGCTAGAAAGGAAGCCACTATAGCCGTGGTTTGATTGTCAGGGAAGTTATCAGACAATAGCACTGAAACTACCCAAGGAAGGAGGGGAAGCTTTTCTTTTCTCATAACGGGAATGATATATCTCTCTCTTTCCTTATTCCACTTAGGACAGAAAAGCATTATATGATCCATAGTTTCTATCATCTCTTGTCCACAATCGCAAACACGTTCCAAAAACGGAAGTCCCAAGAAACGACCAGAGAGCACCTTAGCGGGGAAGGAGTTAAGTCTCACCAAGGTAAACGCTCTGCGTTGTCTTGGGATCTTTAAAGTGTAGCAATATGACGGGATAGCCTCGGGGGGGGCAAGACCCAAGGATAGACCAGAGCAAGTACGTCGAGCTCTTTGAAGGGTACTGCTGAAGTCAAGATCCTTTAGTTTTGATTTAATTTCTCTGAGCGACTCGTTTAACAATGAAGCTGTTGAAAAGTGTGTAGGGGTGAGTCAAGGATGTCAGATACACCTTCAATCCACACCGCGCACCCGTAAAGGATCTGTGGGGCAACCTTCGCATTGAAGATCTTAATGGCAGCTGGTATATGCGTAGCACCCTTGGAATAAAATAATTTTTTAATTGCCTTAATTGTGATATTTGCAGCTTTGAGGGCCGCCTGAATATGTGGTTTCCATGATAGGTTGTAGTTAAAAATGATACCCAGGTAGTTGAAGGAGGGGACTCTCTCCAAGGTCTCGCCCAGTGCACTTAGGTCCATTATGAAAGGTTCTAGAGAACCTAAGGACCTTTGACTTGGAGTAATTAACTTTAAGGTCCTCTTTATTGCAGAATGTAATGAATGCATTAATTACTGATTTTAGACCTAGTTCTGTTTTAGCGAGAAGGATGGCATTGTCTGCGTAAAGGTTTGAAATTGGTGTGTTTGCGAGAAAAGGGGGTTGTCTAGCCTGCGATTTCACAAATGGAATCATATCGTTGACAAATAGATTAAATAAGGACGGAGCAAGCAAGCAGTCTTGTTTCACACCCTTGTTGGTTTGGAAGCTAGCGGTGAGTTGACCCTGCCAATTGTATCTAATTTGGGCGGAAGTGTCGGTGTATAGATTCATAATTAGAGCTAATAGTCTTCTATCTATTGTAGAATCTGCCAATTTACACCATAGCCTGATTGAGTCGAAAGTGGTCTTCAGATCCATGAAGGCCACATAATGTTTCCCGCCTGGGGAAGCCAGATACTTGCTCGCCAAGTGATGTAAAACAAGGCAGTGATCGATGGTTGAAGCCCCTTTGCGAAAACCTATCTGTTCTGGATAAAGAATCGCTTCCTTCCAATCTGTTAGTCTCTCAAGGAGCTGTGCCGCATATATTTTTCCTGGAATAGAGAGTAAGCTTATAGGGCGATAGTTGTGAGGTTCAGCCCTGTTGCCTTTCTTGTAAATTGGAACTATGATTGAGCACTTCCACTCGGTTGGTATAGCACCACACTT